TCTGAGCTCTTCTCTCCATTATTTCACAATGTGACTCCTATCTCCTCTTCTCTTTCCTCCCTGTGTGTAAATTTACTTTTTCTTGTTTGCTTACATTAAGGTATGCCTGTTTTGTACCAAAAAACAAAAACAAAGCAAAACCCAGAAAATACAGATTTTTTAAAGTACAAGAAAATGTACCACTATTAATAATTCTGATACTTGATCAAAGCAGATAAAAAATTTAAGATACTGGCTGGTTTGTTGTAAGCTGAAACACAGCACTTAGATTTTTTTTTATTTAAAAGAAAGCAATTCTTTTTGTATTCTCACTATATAAACCACAACAGATCTTGGTGAGAAGGAAACATTTGATTGGTGTGAGCTTTGATCGATCAGTAGATCACCAGACAAAGAACAACAGGGGATTGCAGATTCAGGGGGCTAGGGACCAGGATCTAGGGAATGAAAGGCCACGGGCAGTTTGAGAGAATCTAGAAATGGCCAAGTGGGATTGAAATCACAGAACTGAAGGTTAGGAAAAAGGCTGGTGTTCGAAAGCCGAATGGGAAAAGCCTTGAACACCATGCTAAGATGCTGACTTTCTTCCTTATGGGCATAAGTGAGCTATAGCAAGTACATGACCTGACTTGAGAGAACAGGCCAGTACAAGTCAGTCCTGGGGAGACTCTTAGCTTATACCCCACCTTCAATACCTGAGGCATTGTCTCCAACATGCAGGAAGACTGCAAATGTGCTGCGGATCTCCACAGTAAACCCTCTGCCTTTGGAGACAAGGACAGACCCATTTCCAAAGATATCACCCAGTGGCAAAGCCCCCCTGGAGCCTTGAGCTGAGCAGCTAGGGCCAATTAGCAGACCACAGAGAAGGAGCAATCAGGGGAAGGAGCCGAGCGCAGAGAAACATCGGTTTATAATTAGGTGGCCTAATCACCTGTGTAAATTGTGTATTTCTTATGATCGATGTGCTAAACAGCTCAGGTTTAATTAAGTTCTGCTGACTTGTTCTCTTTGAAGACCCACTGAAGTGTGATTCACAGCTCTCACAATTAACAATGTCGAGAGAAGCAACTGGAAAGGGGTGGCAGCTCCCTGCCACCTTCATCCCCCTCTCCCTGCTCCCTTGGTGCATTGGGTGGGCTGGGTTGGAGGAACCTGCTTTTTGGTTTCTCTGCCAAGAACCTGGTGAGTAGATACTGAGCCTAAAGAAAAGCTAATGGGTTTTCTCAGTCTCAATCCAATACCCGCCTAGTCCTCTGTGAGCAAGGGGTCTAGAACATCCTGATTCTCCCTGAGGATAGAAAAATCCCACCTTATGGGCTGGGAAGGTGGCTCAGTGGTAGAGCACTTGCCTTGCATGCTCGAGGCCCTGGGTTCAATTCCTCAGCACTACATAAGCAAAAAAAGAAAAAAGCCAGAAGTGGCTCTGTGGCTCAAGTGGTAGAGTGCTAGCCTTGAGCTGAAGAGCTGAGGGACAGCGCCCAGGCCCAGAGTTCAAGCCCACGACCGGACCAAAAAGAAAAGAAAAGAAAAATACCACCTTATGCCTAGGACAGCTCCATCCAAGAGCTCATATTTCCAACCTCTTGATGAATGAGCTTCCTCTGGTCCAAAAGTCTACGTGGTGAACTGTACCAAAAAATAAAAAGGGAAAAAAATTGAGAAGGTAGGTTATATTTTTCAGTTGTCAAAATCATTACCATTTTCTAGAGTAGCTTCTCCAGTTTGTGGTTTGGAATGATCCAACCTCTTCTTTCAGTAGAACCCAAGGAGAGTCGATTGGGTAGGAGGAAAGAGGCTCCAGCTGGAGCAAAGACTCTCGCCCTCCTTGTAGTCAGCTTCGGCTCTTGACTTATCCTGTCTGACTCGTGACATCTGACAACATTCATTTAGAGCAAATATCAATTAAGCACCCCTTCCCCCATGTCCCCTAATCTAATCCTCACTCCTACCCCACCAGGGGTACTTGGCGCAGTGAGGCAGCAGAAGACAAGTCTAGGCTTGAGAATTCCATCGCCTCCCACTGTGAGTGCCGCATGCCCTGGGAAGAGGCGCTCCCTCATTTTCAGAGAGCATATTTTTGTTATAGGAATGACAAAGAAATCAGGAGAGGCAGCGTTGCCATTTCGAATGCTAGGGAGAAAAAAAAAAATCCCCTGGCCTTCACAAGTGAAGGTGATTTAGGCAGAAGCTTGGTGCCTTTTCTGTTGCTTTTACAATACTATCATGTGGCCTTTGTTCTAGAGCTAGAATTGAATCCTACCTTCATAAATCTGAGGTCAGATAAACAAAGCAAATATTTCTGGATTTGGTCCTGCTTCCAACATCCAATGTCATTTGGTTCCAGCCGGAATCTATGAACAACACTGGCTGATTCCTCTATTTGAAAGCTGTCCCTGGGAGGGACAAGTTCAAGGCCCACTTTTCTATCATCATGGTTAGTCTATCTGACACATAGGCCTAGCCTGAGTGTGCTCGCTCCCTCATTTTCCTCGAGTTTCTCCTTCTCAGCACCTTATTAGCTTCTGCTATCGGACCTTTATCTAGCAGAGGGGGTCCTGGGTTTGTTCCCAGATCCTCTGCTCTTTCTCCCCTACCCTTTTTGTTGTTTGTTTGTTTGTTTTGCCAGTCCTGGGGCTTGAACTCAGGGCCTGGGCACTGTCCCTGAGCTTCTCTTTTGCTTAAGGCTAGCCCTCTACCACTTGAGCCACAGCACCACTTTGGCCTTTTCTGTTTATGTGATACTGAGGAGTCGAACCCAGGGCTTCATGCATGCTAGAGAAGCACTCTACCACTAAGCCAAATCCCCAGCCCTCCACCTACACTTTCTAAGAGACCTCATCCATTCCTGTGGCTTCAAAGGCACAAGGCCTTCTCACTACGGTCTCCTCACTGGAATTTATCCCCAAGCTCCCCCTTGAACTCCAAACTTACAAATGCACTTGCCAGTTCTTTACACTTAAATAGATAATAGGCATCTCAACCTTAACATGTCCAATTAAAACTGATTTCCCCATCTGTCTCTCTCTCATCTCTCTCCTTCCTCCTCCCTCTCTCTTTTTCCTGTCTCGCTTTCATATTCAAGCCAAAGCTGAAGAGTTGTCCCTGATTTCTGTGAGCCAATAGTTAATCCATCAACACACCCTGGCAGCCTCCCTGCAGAATCAATCACACAACCAGAGCCATAACTTCTCCCAGCAAGCAACTTCAGCAGCAGGACAAGGGAGGTGGTGGCTGATGACTCAAGATTCACATCATTCCACTCCTGCCACCATCAGAGAGATTTAAGTCTCCTTCCTATTCCATTACTAAAAAAAAAGATAATCAGGGATGGTTTCTGATAGGTCCAGTTCAGGCCAGAACCCTGGAACCAAATCCATTCACTACATGTCTTGTTATAAGAATACTTTTTAGAAGGAGAGGAGTTACTTGTTCACCTTTCCCTCCCAAAAAAAGAAGGTTCTGGACAGGTGAGTCAAAATATAAGCCTTCCTCACTCAGTTGGAGTAATGACCGCCATGTCCTCTGAGTCACATGCAGACCTGTTTATATCCCTCTCTCGTATACTCAGCCACAGCTGGAAAGGTCAGGAAAGAGTGTTTGGAGATGGATTACAAGAATGAATTTAGGAGTTGAAGAACCAGTCAAAATTGGAATTTTGGGGAAAAAGAGATGATCAAGCCGAGACACATGGAGGAGTAGAGGAAAATCAGGGAGACAAGTAAACAGACACACCTGTGGTGTGATGGGCTGCAGAGGTGGGAAGTACCTCAACTTGGATGAGGCCAGGTGCACACGCTGGAAGAGTAGTGAAGGTCAGTCCATCTCCATGGATGCAGAGGCCCAACATGGCACACAGGGTCCTGCTCCAGAGGAAAACTCCATGAGTGAGACAGAATGCTTATATGAACCTCTTGAAATTCGTAATCATTTTACGTTTGAGTCTGTGTTTTATCAATGAAATCTGATGGCACAACAAACCATATTCCAGGGGCTCGGAATTTGGAGCCTCTTCTCCCAGTCAGGGTGTTCCCCTCACTTCAGCCGCCCTAGAGTGGGCCCTTGGCCCTGGTGTTCACAGAGACTGCAGCCCCATTGCAGCTTGCAAAGGGCCAGGCATGGGTTCCATGAGGATCGAGATCAGGATAGAGCCAAGGGTCTTCGCTGGGCACCCCTGTCTCAGGGTGGTCAACAAGCCCAGGGGTGGGTCAGTACTTCCTCAGGGATGCTCTCTGTTTTCTCTGAGGGGACCTCAACATTAAATGGCAAATTAAAAGACTTCCATGATAGATGGGGAGAGAGAGAAAGAGTGAGAGAAAGAGAGAGAGGCAAACGCTTAGCTTCTTTTTGAACCAGGGGAGGGAGGGAGGTGTCTCATGTTTTCCTTTGGCTCTGGACAGCCAGCCCTGAGTAGAATTGAGGCTGGACAGGCAGGTTGGAGACAAACTGTCAAGGGCCTGACTGCTGCAGAGCTCAGCCTGCATTGTGTAGGCCAAGGTTTTTTTTTTTTTTTTTTTGCAAAGGGCCAGCTGGTAATTATTTTAGTCTTTATAGCCATATGGTCTCTGTTGCAATGACTCAATGCTGCTTTTATCATGCAAAAGAAGTCAGAGACAATCCATAAGCCAATGGCTGGAGCCATGTTCCGATAAAACTTTATTTAAAACAGACAGTGGGTGGGATTGGCCTGCAGACCCTAGTTTGCCATCTCGTGCTGTAGCCAAGGAACAAGTTGCCGACACTGGAGAAGCAACAAGGCATAAAGTCAGAGAGAACTTTCTAGAAAGTGAATGGTTCCACTGTCCAGAGTAGATGAGACAGAATCAGCCTAGAGATTGTTTGTTGGGAGAGAGAATAACACAAAGCTCCAAGCCCGGGGAACCAGAAGTCAAGTCAATAGTGGCATTGTGGGCTAGAGAGAGAAAACAAGGGAATATAAGAGTCTCACCGAATGGCTGACACCAAAGCCACTGAGCCAGCTCAGACCCTATCTTGTGCAGAAGAGAGGAAGAGCAAACGCAGGGTCCGGACCACCTTCACTTCGGAGCAGCTGCAGGAACTGGAGAAGCTCTTCCACTTCACCCACTACCCCGACATCCACGTCCGCACCCAGCTGGCTGCCAGGATCAATCTGCCAGAAGCTCGTGTCCAGGTACAGAGCCCTCTGCCCAGCCCCAGGACCCCGGGGCCTTGTTAGGTGCTTGTCCCAGGCCTTCTGGGGCAGACAGTGTCCAGCCGCTTTATCTCATGAGTACTGTCGTCATGGCCAAATAGTACTTTCCAAGAAATGAGATCAGGTTATTATAAAATGATTTTGTCCCCAGGCACCCGTGGCTCATGCCTATAATCCTAGCTATGCAAGATGCTAAGATCTGAGGCTCGAGGTTCAAAGCCAGCCTGAGCATAATAGATCATTAGACTCTTCTAAAAAATTTTTATTGTGAAGGTGATGTATAGAGGGGTGACAGTTACATGAATCTGGTAATGAGCACATTTCCTTTTGAACATGAGACTCTTATCTCCAACTAATCACAAAAAATAATAATAATCCAGAAGTAGCACTGTAGCTCAAGTGGTAGAGTGCTAGCCTTGAGTAAAAGAAGCTCAGAGACAGTACCCAGGCCCAGAGTTCAAGCCATGACTGACAACAACAACAACAACAACAAATCATTCTAGGGGCTGGGAAGGTAGCTCAGCGGTAGAGTGCATGCCTTGCATTCATGAGGCCCTGGGTTCGATTCCTCAGCACCACATAAACAGAAAAAGCCGGAAGTGGTGCTGTGGCTCCAGTGGTAGAGCGCTAGCTTTGAGCTGAAGAGCTGAGGGACAGCGCCCAGGCCCAGAGTTCAGGCCCCATGACCGGATCCAAAAAAAAAAAATCATTCTGTCTCCTTTGGGGTGGAAATGGAATGAGGGAAACATCATCCATTTCCAGCCATCTTTTTCTATAAAGAGCCACGTGGTAACGAATTTCAGTTTTATGGTCATGCAGTCACTGGCAAAGCATCCAGTTTCCATTGCCACAGTATCTAAGAGCGGCACAGACAACATGAACGTGATGTGTGCCAATAAAACTTTATTTGGGAATGCAAAATTTGAATTCTGCACAATTTGTATATATTACAAAATATTCATCTTCTTTTGATTCCCCCCCCCATACCCCACAACCATTTAAAAATGTAGAAACTAAAAAAAAAAAAATGTAGAAACTACTCTTAGCTCATAGGCCATTCAAAAAAGATGTGGAAGGGAAGATTTTTTTTTCCTAAATGTTGCTACTGGTGACCCTCAAAGTAGACCACATGGACATTCTTGGAAGAAGCTGAGAGTTGGACAGACCCAGGCTCCATGGATACGGCCTGGTTTGAATACCAACAGTCTACTTTATTGCTTGTAATGTCTTCACCCCAGAGTGTCTATTGCTTGGTCAATGATTAAAAACACTGAAATACATTGGATGCTGCTAGCTCACACCTGTAATCCTAGCAACTCAGGAGGCTGAGCTCAGAGGGTCACAATTCAAGGCAGGAAAGTCTGTGAGATTGTTATTTCCAATTATCCACCAAAAAGCTGGAAAATGGAGCTGTGGCTCAAGTAGTAGAGTACTAGTCTTAAGTAAAAAAGTTTTAGAACAGTACCCACACCCTTGAGTTCAAGTCCCAGAACCAGCAAAAAATAAAATAAAATAAAGCAATAATCTGTTTTAATAAAAAATCTAAACCATGGCCTAAGTCAACACTCCACTGTTTATACCATTCCAACCTTCTTTCCTTCTGGATGAGGCCCAGCCCTGTCCTAAGACATCTCCTCTTTCCCTCCCTTTGGAATCAGGCCCCAGTTGAGTGTTTAGCACCTGTGTCTATGGTAAAGCCTTGAATTCAACACCTGCCTCCATAGAATTACCAAGTAGAAATGGCCTCGTGTCAGGGACCACCGGGGCGCTCATGAATGCAGGGAACTGCCAATGTTCTTCCTATAGATGCCAAGTGGCCCACGGGGGTTGCAAATGCATGGCCTGCTGACAGAAAACAGCCCGCAGATGGGCTTTATGTGGTCTGTACCAGATTTTCAAACCCAGACATGAGCAACGAGTTTTAAAAGTCCAAGATTTCCACACTGGAAACCGGATGAATCCAAAACACTGGCTTCACATTTCCAGGAGATGGCTGTCAGCTTGAGATTTAGAAGCTGTCCCTTTTCGATCGTGCTCACCCCAGGTCCTCCCCTCCCCAAGTATCACTTGCCACGCTCCCAGACCCCAAAGGCACCAAAGGTTGTGACTCTGGGCTTCTCTCCAGATCCCAACAAATCCTACACAAATGTAGCTTTATAAACTATCAAGTGCTTGTAATCTAGGAGGTGCCTGGCGGGCGCCTAGAGAAGGAACACCTCTTTTATATGTCTCTATTCTGCTTCCCCTAATCACAGATCTGGTTCCAGAATCAACGAGCGAAGTGGCGGAAGCAGGAAAAAACCGGCAGCCTTGGTGCCCCGCAGCCACTGGGGGAAGGCAGTTTGGCCCTGCCCTCACCGCTGGACGTGGCTGCGGTCAGCAAGGTGGGGGATGAAGGGACCTTTGTCTGGAACCATGCCAAACAGACCCAAATGGGACAAAGACCCCAGGGCTGTGTACAGTACCGAAAGCAAGGAAAATCCTCCCCAAATATTAGCTGTCCTGTGGAGCCCTCACGGGCCTTGGGTGGGCACCAGGTAGAGATCGGAGCAGTGAACTGGCCAGACGACCCTGCCCCTCCCTGGGTTTCCCTACCTGCACTGGGGTGGGATTTCTCATTCACCCATTTGTTTGCTACTTCAGAAACAGGGCTTTGAAGAACAAGGTGCCCACTTCCTATGTGACCACCTGTTCAGGCGGGCCTGGGCCACACAGGACAGTCATTATCAAGCCCACATACCCCAGCAAGGCAAAACAAGCCAATCGCGCCAGTCACTCTGCATGTCTGAGCCGTGGCGACCGCTGGGAGGTGCCGGGTAAAGCTAGGGTCTCACCTCTCCCCCTGCTTCTTCTTGTGACAGGACCCCGTGCTGGCGTCCTCCGCTCTGCCCAGGCTGGCTCCTCCCATTGGGTGTTACCCACCAGCTCAAAGTAGGCTGACCTCCACCTGGTTCCCTTCGCGGATCACCCTGGTCCCCCAGCACCCATGGGAGCTGCAGCCCTTCCTGGGCCCTCGGGTCTCACAGACGTGCATTCCTGACCTCTGTGTCCTGCCGCCTTCACACCCCAAGTGGAGCAGTGTCTGTGCCACTTTAACATAGGGACCAGGCATCCTCTCCCCAAGTGAGCTGCTCTTCCTCTCCCAGTGACAGCAGGTGGCAGATGATGCCCTGGGCATCAGAGAAAATCACTCCTGCCATCCGGAGATGGTCACGGCCCAGAAAGCTGCCATCAACAGGTCATTGAAAACCAGGGCCACAGGGTGAATCAGAACAGAGACAGCACTATCTCTGCCAGCAGAAGTGGCCCTCCTGGTCCAGGAGACTATCTGCACGCCGGGCATGGTGGCTCACATCTGTAATTCAAGCTATGCAGGAGGCAGGGGTAGGAGGATCACAGTTTGAGGCCAGCTCCAGACAAGAAGTCAGACTCTATCTGGACAATTAACTAAAGGCAAAAGGGCTGGGTGCATGGTTCAAGCTGTAAAGCAACTGCTGAAAAAGCAGAAGAACCTGATTACAAACCCCCAGTACCACCAAAAAGACGCTACATGACAGCTCATGATGGGCTCCGGGATGGGATTCTGTCTTCCTTGAGCTTCCTTTAGCTTGCTGCACGACCTCCAGCTGGTCACTCGCCCCTCTGGACCTCATCTATTATACAAAGTAGTTGCATGGTTGACTTCTGATAACACCTCTCTCCCCGGATCTGAGAGGATGATCTATGGGAAATACTGAGGCAAAAAGGAGACTCATGCATTCCTATCAGCATGCATTTAATGTGCATTTATTGAGCACCTACTGAACACTCCACCCATGGAACTGGATATGAAGCCAAACAACTCAGAGTCTGTCCAGGTTGGTTGAAGGGTGATATTGACCATCACCTGTAAGCCGAATTCAGTGGCTTTGCACTGCACTCATGTCTAACACATTCTTTAAGGCTTTGATGTGACTGGACACTGGTGGCTCACGCCTATAATCCTAGCTACTCAGGATGCTGAGATCTGAGGATTGAAATTCAAAGCCAGCCAGGGCAGGAAAATCTATGAGACTCTTATTTCCACTAAACTAACAAAAAGGCCAAAAGTGGAGCTGTGGCTCAAGTGGTAGAGTACTAGCCTTGAGCAAAAGGAGCTCAGAGACAGCACCCAAGCCCTGAGTTCAAAGCCCCGGGACCTACAATAAATAAAGAAATAAAGAAATAGAGTTTTGATGTGAATATCCCAGAGTGGGAGGGGGTGGAATTTTTTCTTTTAATTTAAAACAATTTACTTGCTGGGCTCTGGTAGCTCCTGCCTATAATCCTGAGATGGGAAGGTAACAGTTCGAAGCCAGCCCATGCTGAAAAGTCTGTGAAATTCTTATCTTTAATTAACCACCAAAAAAAAACAGAAGCAAAGTGTGGCTCAAAGTGCTAGAGCACTAGCCATGAGCAGAAAAGCTCAGGGACAGCATCCAGGCCCTGAGTTCAAGCCCCACGACCAACAATAACAACAGCAAAGAATTCACTGGCTTGTTATTCTGGGTTGGGAAGGGATGGTGCCATAGCTGGTACTCAGGAAGAGGAAGATAAGGCTCTTCTTAGGGTCTCTTCCCAAGACATGTGCCAGGGCCCAGCCAGAATGCCAACCTCTCTCTTCCCTAGAAAGCTATTCAACTCTGAGAGAGTCTGGTGACAAGAGCAAGAGTCTGTGCAAACTGCACACTGAGCCTCCCTCACCTAGCAGGGAAATCAGGAGCCCCTGAGAGGTGAGTGGGTTTTGCAGGACACAAGGCTGGACCCACTGCAGAGCACCTGCTTGCTGAACTACCCCTAAGCTAGGCAGTCAAGTTCAGCCTCCATGTCCAAGTCCTCAGTGAGTTCTAGGAATTTTTCTGAACCTCTGCAACCTGCTCGGGGCCCTTGGCCCACCCTGAAGTTGGGCCAGGAATTGAGAGGCCAAGCTATTATTTCTGCATGTCCTCTTATTTGCTATGTGACCTTACTGTTTAAATCTCTGGACCTCAGTCTGCCTGTCCATGAGTTGAAAGCGGTAACATCAGCTCTGCCTTCACAACATACCGCAGAAGCAGACTGCAGTTCAAAGGATGTGGATCTGCTCCTCCAACTTAGAAGTGTGCAATCTCTCAAAGCCTGTGAGAGCTGTGATTGACAACTTGGATAAAAGGAAAAGGTGAGGTTGAGGGAAGAAAAGCCAGCTAACATCACAGGCGAGTAGCTCAAACTCTGGGCAGAGGGTGTTGTCAGCATTGTGTCGCTGACAATGCCTGAGACAATCAACTTAAAAGAAAGTTTATTCATTTAGTGCTTTCTGAGCTTTCTGTCCAGAGTTGCTGGGCCTTGTTGCTTTGGGCCTGTGGTGGCACTGTACATTATGGTAGGAGCAGGTGATGGAAGAGGCCTCTTCACCTCATGGTAGCCAGGAAACAAAACAGAGAAAGACAGGAAGGGGCGGAGCCCCGATGTTCCCTTCAAAGGGCCACCCTCAATGGTCTAACTTCCCTTTCCTGCAGCTTCCTCCACCCCACAATGGCACCCCGGGCCGGCCACCAAACCTTTAACACTTGGCCTTGGAAAACATTTACAATCCAAGCCATGGCACAGGTTCCCATTTTATGGCCCTAGATACCAATGTGCAAAATATAACTTTTAATTGCTGCGTATAACTACACTTACTTTCTACGTTGTTGGCAGAGAATCTGTCCTAGTAGCTTCTAGGTTACTGATTCTTCAGACACTAACATCGCGATTTGGGGGGAAAAATAAAATTTCAAATGTCACTTTCCAGCCCAGTCTAGCCCAGTCCTCAGTCAGGATTCACTGAGGTGTGCCTCATCCCCAGGACTCGGATCTGCCCTGAACTCCCCACCCTGCCCACGCACTGCCTCCCTCAATCCCTGTTGGTGGGTCACCATCATCCCTCTGCAGCAGCCTCCCCATCCTGGGCATGGAGCTCCCTAGTTCCTATCTCCCAGGAACAGAGCTAAAGCCAATATATTGCTCTCCAGTCTATGGCCACCTTGCCACCCTCCCCCCCCCCATGCCAAGGCCAGGGAAGTCTGGGGCCCAGCGCAGATCTCACCCACTCCCACTGCTGCCCTCTCAGGGCTGCTCCTCACACCCTGGTGTGCAGCAGAATCAGAGATGAGACAATACATCTTCATCCTCCCAAGGAGAATGGGAGAAGTACAGAGCCCCCTGCCGCGGGGTCCTCACCCTCTTCTCCTGCCGTGTACCCCTCCTCTTGCTCAGAGGCTCCAGTGAGCAAGTATCTTAGCTTGGCTTCTTCAGAGGCTGTTGATTTTGCTGCAGCATTTCTTCCTCCCTAAGGATACTCACCCAAGAACTGTCTTATCCCCTTTACATCTGTGGGACAGATGAACCACTGTAGAATGCTTTTCATGACTTTGGGCAAGTGACTGTTAACTTCTCTGGATGACAATGGCGCCTTGCTTCTTGGAGCTAAATAAGTTGGCTCATAAAGGCACTTAATATATGTTAAGAAAGAAGTCATTTTCCCCAATACCCCTTTTCTGCCTCTCCTACCATATTTAAGCAGCTCCTCTGACCCCAAAGTCTTTGTAAAAGGCCAAAGAACTCTCAAGAGAGACTGGGCAAAGTCATGGGTGGCTGTGTTTAACTTTCCCAGGGAAAGGAGTTCATTGCTTTCATTTGCTATTCAAAGAGTTCCGAGGCGAAGCCTTAGGAATCATAAAGAACCCCTGTGAGACCTGGCAGGTTTCCACTCCAGCTGTGAGGACTGGAGATTTCAGAGAAGGACAAGGATAACTTTTGCTTAAGTTGAAATCAAATAAATCTTGTTAGAGTTTCCATATCCCCCTCCCCCCAAAAAAGTGTTGAAGATGTAGCTATCTATCGTCATGACAGTATTAAGAGGTAGAATCTTGAAGAGGAGGCCAGGCTGCGTCTGTTCTCATGACTCAAGCTTGCTCACATGTCATGGCCCACTCTCCCTGGCGGACCTCCCCAAAATTCTCCTGCCCAGAATCTTAATCTAAATGTGAAAGTCCGGTCTCCTCCCCTTCCCCCACCTCAGGTGACAAGCACGGGAGTACCTGGAAGCAGGCTACACCTGGCTGAACTTTAACCTGCACAATAGGTTCCCAGAACCAGGCCATTACCATAAACTCTAAAGGCCTCTCCTACTCCTTGCCCACCTAGGGCCCTACTTAGATCCTTCCACCTCTGCTCCCATTGTGCCTCGTGTCTCCTGACTCTTCTCAGATCACCGTGGGGTCCCTCTTCAACTTTCCATTACAGTTGTTCTGGTCTGTTGAGTTTGCTTTCTGCTCTTTCTTTATTCTAATTCCCTTATAACTCAGTTTCCTACCTGCATCATGAGCAAACCCATCCCATTACTCATTACCATTCAAGTCTAGCTCTCCCCATCTCTACCCTGTAATGGCACAGCAAGAAGGCCCTCTGCAGATTCCAGGCCCTTCATCGTGGACTTCCTGGCCTCCAGAATTATAACACTATGCCATGAATTTCTGTGCAATGGAAATTACCCAGTTTGTGGTCTTCTGTTATAGCCAAACGGTCTGAGCGCTTTGGCCCTGTGGTGGCACTGTACGTCATGGTGGGAGTATGTGATAGAAGAAGGCTGTTCACTCCGTGGTAGCCAGAAAACAAAATGGAGAAAGACAGGAAATGGTGGTGTCCCAATATCCCTTTCAATAGACTCCCTGTGATCTAACGTCCCCATCTAACTACTGATATGACTGAACAAACTAAGATAAATATAAAATGAATACGCGGGAAAGTTTTATGTAATTCACTAACAAATGGGTACAGGAAGCTATAACCAACTTCAAGAATAATACACTTATTCAAAGAACAGATGCAAGGCCAAATGTAATGGCACTGTCCTATAAATCCTAGCACACAGGAGGCTGAGGCCGGAAGATCATGAGTTTGAAGCCAATGTGGGTTATGTAGCAAACCTATTTCAAAAACACACACACACACACAAAAATAATAAGCAGAAAAGATAGGCAAGTCAGTATACTGAAATAAATTACACATAGAGACAAAGAGAAAGCAACCACCAGGAATTATTGATTTCATCTCCACCGGC